AATCTATGCATTTTCTCCTCTTCTTGTCTCTACAGGGCAGGAAATAAAGGGAAATTACAGGAAATAATAATGGGACACAGATGACAACAAGTGCTAACTATTTTACAATGTTTACCATGCTTACAGTATCTAAAAGGAAAAAAATATGAAGCTATTAGCAGGTAACTATACTATTTTATTGCAGTCATTATTATTAGGCAAATTTTTTTTTTCAAGTATGCAAATTTGTTATTATGCAGTTCTAGGCTCACGTACACTTTAAAGTGGAAGTAAAGTCCACTTTGTAAGTTGTACCTACAGGTAAGTCTATAATAAGTGTTGCCTGTAGGCACAGTGAATATCCCTAAACTTGCACCGTTTAGGAGATATTAACACAGTATGCAGCTGATGTTACCGGCGCATGTGCTCTGAAGGGATGACACAATGTGCTGAACCTTCAGAGCTCCATGCCACAGCCGAGGGTTCCCGAACGCATGCGCGGAAGTAATGTCATTGAGTATACTGCTGGAGCACGCAAACCTGGAAAGAAGACTAGGTGAAGATGATGGGGAGCCATCATCTTGGTAAGTCTGTCATAATGTACTAGTTTGTGGTGCATACTAGTACATTATGACCTAAACCTGCAGGGGGGGCATTATTTTGGGATTTTTTGGGGGTAGTTTACTACCGATTTAACCTCTTAATGTCTCACCTATCTGCTGTCACTTATTTATTCACTTAGAAGAAGATAGAATGCATACCCTAGATAGTATGTGCATATAACAGAAACCCATCACTCAGTTCTGTTAGCTGCAAACTTGTCTTCTAATGCCTATTGACATGACATTGGTGATGAACCTTTCATGTCTGTGACCAGCATAGAATGCAAGTAAGCATAGTACCAGTAAGTAGATTACCATCTTCAGTATATGTGGTATCATATCTAAATGTTGGGGTCAACATCTACTTTTACAGAGTTGGTTTCTTTCAATGCAAACAGTTAACATTTAAAGTCATATGACCCCAAGGAGAAGGGATATTTTTAATATTTTACCAGCCGGGACAAAAATATGAAAAAGACTGTGTTCAGCTGTAAAATCTCAGTCCAATTTTCTTTTATTATATTATTATGTCTTATTAGCACTTCTCTGTGCTTGAAGTTGATTATATTTTTATGACTATCTCCCTCAGTTTCCAAGGTTTCACTTCTTGCAGATAAGCAGATGCATCTAGATGATATTGTTCTCTCTATCCAACACAATCTTTGCATATTACAAAACTACTTAAGCAGCATCTGAAAAAAAAAATCCCTGCATCGAGATCCTGACTTTCCTTTCAATCAAAATGTAAAACATCAACAGATTAAGAAAAATGTGAAAATAAGCCTATATCTGGAGCTAGTGAAAATGTTAATTGTTACAGTGTATATTTTAATGCAACTGACATTTAAATCAGAATCACATATTTTATAATCAATATCCTTGTTAGAATTAAAAGTGAATAAACTTGATTCAGTAGACTGGAAGTGAACTTATATTTACATTTTCCAACAGGGGTTATAGTAATGTCTACCAGTAAATTTGACAAAAAAATTTGGTACAGATAATTTCTTGTTTTCATTAAATTATTATTGAGAGAAAAATGCTTCCCTTATCTGAAAAATAATCATGATAACAATCTCCATTCCAATTGTTATGCAAACATTACAGTTATAACAAAACGCAAATAGGTGGGTGTAATATAAAGAACAATTTCCCTGTGTTTAAATGATAAACAATTATATCTATATGGAGCTTAACAATCTAAAAATAGAAAATCAGCTCTTTCCAAACATTTTGCATATTAGATTCCAAAGATTGCTGGTTGTGCTGCATTAGTTCCTCCTTGCACATTATATTATTATTATTATATGATTTATTTTATTAAACCACACAATATGATGTTGACAACTTCCACATTCCACTAAGACACATTCTTTGCAGAGTTTAATAAACAGTGAATTAGACTGTTCCGATTATCTTTATATGAAATATTAGAACCATGAAATAAATAGACTCATGGATCCCAAGGAGAGTCCATTTCGAAATCCTAGAATTTACACTTACTACTTTCAACCAATATGTTTTAATTACAGGACATGAATACCACATACATTGAATGGTCCCTTCCGAATCACAGTTTCTCCAACACTTTGATGAGTATACCACAAAAATAGATGCCAGATGCAAAAGGGAATAAATACCATTGTGCAGTCAATTTGAAATTCAGCTGTGGATATTTCACACTAATAGAAGTATAACATAACCTTAAGAGTTTAAATTTTATTCTTCATATAACATAATACCAAGATCTTTTTTTTCCCTTAAAATCTGGAAAAAGTAGGGGATTCTCATTTCAAAATGGGTCTATACAGTATATACAGTACTGTACAAGAGGGTACATGATCAGTGCAATCAGGGCCTAATAGAAGTACTTCAATTGGATTTAAAACTGCCAGATCCATGATAAGCTGCAGAAGAGAACGTATAAAATGTATCTGACAATATGCAACTTCAAAAAAGAAGCCCTACTTTTTTCTTAGGTCCATCAAAGAAGGTAGTATTGGACCATTTAAGAAATAACAGAGATGCCTTTGAACAAACTTGGGAACCATGGGCAACTTATGTGAAGGCACCCTTGTCTTCCTCTCAATTGTAAGCATATGGCATCTCTATCATCTGAGATTCCTAGGTTTCCTTCTTCTCTGTCATTCTTTTTGTCTTCTTCATTTCTACCTTTTCTTTTGATCTCCTTTTTGGAGACTTTTCCTTTCTTCTTCTTTTGACTTCTTTGGATTTATGTCTGTACATATCTTACCACCAGCCTTCTATACAGGCAGTGTATTATTTTACATTAGAGCCATTATCATAGGTGGATCATTGGCTCTCTGAGTATCCCTGATATCTTCATGCATGTATTCATACATAGATTGATTGGCATGTTTATTGTTCTTCATAGGCTGTACTCATGGATTATGGGTTACTACACTTTATACCCTACTGCTTCTCTTCTGCTTGGTACTGTAATAACCATTTCATATGTCAGATTGTCTGTTACCTTCTTTGAGTTTCTGGTTTAAAACATTTTGAATGAAAAAAAAAGAAATAACAAGAGGGTTGTGGGGTAGCAATGTGGGGTGGTATGTCCATCCTAAAAAGTGTGTCCATCTTATCATTCAAACCTGGGAGAAACATTCTATGCCCAGTACTGGGCATTAGTGAAGAATTATTATTCCAATTTCAAATCTAAATTTGTTTGTGAAGGAGATCCCATTATTGGAGGGCATCCATATTTTGACAGCTCTACTCCACTAGAGGATTTTTCTATAGAAACCCATATTTTTTTATCTGCAAATGTCCACTTTATCACTAATGTAGCAATATAGTATCTTCTAAAACCAAGTACAGCCAAGCCCTAATTTTGTTTTAAGCAAATTACAATACAGTGAGAGTTTTGGAATGTTTAGAGCTCCAAAAAAATTAAGAAATCTTATTTAATGTTTGAAAAAATGAAAGGGGAATTTGTTTAGGCAGCCCATGAGAAAGACCCTATCCTCCAAGATTGTACATCTTGGCCTATTTCCTTCAAAAGTGGAATATAATTCACTTTAAATACAGTAGCAAGATACTTAGTAAGATATATAATCAAATATTACAACTTGTCTTGCTACCACTGGAAAGGTACATATAATGAGGAAGCCTCAGAAATGGGAAGATTAGAGTTCAGAATTTCTGATTTAGCTCCAATTCAGTTCAAGTTAATCTGAGAGCAGCACAGTGACTAAGTGGTTAGGACTTCTGTCTAGCAGCACTAGGGTCATCAGTTCAAATCTCAACCATGGTAATAACTGCCTGGAGTTTCCATGTTCTTGCGTGGGTTTCCTCTAGGTACTCCTAGGTTTCCTTCCACACTCCAAAGACATGCTGGTAGGTTAATTGGCTCCTGTCTAAATTGGCCCTACTATGTGTGTGTATGAATGAGAGTTAGGGACTTTAGATTGTAAGCTCCTTGAGGGTAGGGACCAATGTGAATGTACAATATATATGTAAAGTGCTGCATAAATTGATGGTACTATATAAGTACCTGTAACAAATCAGAAATTTCATTGTATCAGTCCAGCTCCTTAACCAGTTCTGCTCTAGAGCAATTTTTTTAAATTTTTTGCACACACATAAAAATCTTAATTTTTGGCAATAAAATTTTGTATGGAAATAAACTAGCAGTCTGCACTATTGGATGTTTCTTTGATTCCTTTTAATATATCTATTCCTGGGAGATCGGGAAGGACCAAGTGAAAGATGAAGAAGATCATGGTCTCTAATATAAAAGTGTAATTGACCTTTCTTTTGCAGTGGGGTCCGTGATATAAGGTGAGGAGATGCCCATGAGGTGTGGTGAAGGGCACGGTGGTGTTTGTTCATGCTGAAGAAAGTCATATTGTTGTTCTGACAAGAATTAATATATCGATTGAAGATTGCATGGATATTGGTTGGTGTATGGGACTCTCACATTGGACTATACATTTTGGGATTTTTTTTATGCTTTAGGAGCTATACTGTGTGTGTGTGTATGTATATATATATATATATATATATATATATACAACCCATGGCAAAAAGTATGGAATCACCACTCTTGGAAAATGTTTATTCAATTGTTTAATTGTGTAGAAGAAAAAACAATATCAGACATGCCTCAAAACTATTGTCATTCAACATTCCAACCTTCTGGCTTTAGGAAACACTTAAAAAAAAATAAAAAAGAAAGAAAACTGTGGTCAATTGCAACTGTTTTTGCAGATCAAGCAGAAGAAAAATATATGTAATCACTCAATTCTGAGGAAAATGCCATGGAATCACCTTGTATTTTGCAGTTCTAAAACAAACATCTGCATCAGAATACATCTGCTAATTAGTCTGCAGTTAAAAAAGAATGCTTGAACACCTTGGTGAGCTGTTGCACCAAGCTGATTGACATGAATCATGGCTCCAACACATGAGAGGTCAGTTAAAACAAAGGAGAGGATTATAAAACTTCTTCAAGAAGGTAAGTCATCATGGAAAAAATGCAAAAAATGTTGGTTGTTCCCAGTCACCTGTGTCTAAAATCTGAACCTGAAGTACCTAAAATCTGAAGTACAAATCAAAAGGGAAGGTTGTAAAAGGAAAGTGTACTAGTAGACCAAGGAAGACATCAAAGCATCAACATAGAAAACTTAAAGCAATATGCCTTGAAAACAGAAAATGCACAACAAAACAAATGAGGAACAACTGGGCAGAAACTGGACTCAATGTCTGTGACCGAACTGTAAGACATTGCTTAAATGAAATGGAATTTACATACAGAAAAGCCATACAAATATCATCATTAACACCTAAACAGAAAAAAACAAGGTTACAGTGGGCTAAAGAAAAGCAATCATGGACTGTGGATGACTTGATGAAACTGATATTCAGTGATGAATCACACATCTGCATTGGGCAGGGAGATGATGCTGGAATTTTTGTTTGGTGCTGTTCCAATAAAATGTATACAGATGACTGCCTAAATAAAACATGCAAATTTCCACAGTCATTGATGATATGGGGTTGCATGTTAGGTAAAGGTATGCGGGAGATAACAGTCATTAAATCTTCAATAAATGCACAAGTTTATATTGAGATTTTGGACACTTCTTGTTCCATCAATTGAAAGGATGGCTGGTGATGGCATAATTTTTCAGGATGATAATGCATCTTGCCATAGGGCAAAAGCCATGAAATCTTTCCTTTAAGAAAGACATGTAAAGTTAATGGCATGGCCTAAAAATAGTCAGGACATCAATCCAATTGAAAATCTATGGTGGGAATTAAAGAAAATGGTCCATGACAAAGCTCCAACCTGCAAAGCTGATCTTGCAACTGCAATAAGAGAAAGTTGGAGCCAGATTGATGAAGAATACTGTTTGTCAATAGTTGAATCCATGCTTCAGAGAATTTAAGCTGTTATAAAAGCCAGAGGTGGCACAACAAAGTACTAGTGGTGTAGTGTAGTGGTTGTTTTTTCATGATTCCATATTTCCTCAGAATTGAGGGATACCATATTTTTTTCCTCACCTTGATCTACAAAAACAGTTGCAACTGACTACAGTTTTCTTTCTTTTTTATTTTTTTTAAGTGTTTCTTAAAGCCAGAAGGTTGGAATGTTAAAAGAAAATAGTTTTGAGGCATGTCTGTGACTTGATTTTTGCCTACACAATTAAACAACTGAATGAACATTTTCCAAGAGTGGTGATTCCATACTTTTTGTCTGGTAATATATATATCATTTACAAAAGGATACTGAATACTGGGGGATCTGTTTATGATAAAGGGTTATGCTATGAGGGATATTTGATTTGTTATGTCATATTGGAAGCGCTTCATCAGTATTTGATTTTGATTCATTAACACAGTACAATGATTGCACTGTTGGGTGGTGACTGCTTTCGAGATTCAATTTGACTTAATTTGACTTATTTTTTATTTGTTTATTTCTAGTTGTGAGTGCTAATTGCAGGGGGTCTATTTTTATTTTTAAGATGATTTTCACTCTTGACTTCTTAAAGTTGCAAACTCATTTTAAAATAACATTGCTTAAAAATCTTAAAAAAAATTATGTATTCATTATTCATATTATTATATTATGTATTATTATGTATTCAAATATCATTCAATGTGTTTTTTTTTTATAAATTTTATATTGCAATTCCTGCATACCAAAATCCGGGCTTAGAGTGGAAATGCCTGCACTGGAAGATCTTTATCATCATTAACTGTTTTCCTCTGAGATAAGCTATGAGTGATCAAGTATTTGAATTTTCCAGATAGGGATTACTTTGTTTCACAAGGCAGCTTGAAGTGCTTGAACCGGAGAGTACAGAGAAAGGCAACAAAGCTAATAAGGAGGCTGAAGGATCTCAGTTATGAGGATCGACTACAAACAAACTTTTTCTTCCTGGAGAAGAAATTCTTAAGAGGGGATATGAGCACAATATACAAATCTTTAAATGGTGACTCTGGCATTGGGAGAAAACTACTTAATTTAAGGCCTCTAAAGAGGACACGTGGTCACACAATGAAGTTAGACAAGAAGCGTTTTACTCTTAAACTGCATAAGGGGTACTTTACTGTTGGAGCAGTAAGGATGTGGAACTCCTTTCCGCCGTTGATGGTGTCTTAGCAAGTGCAGTGTACAGGGATATATAAAATGGCAGTGACACACACCCACTCAGGTTGAATTGGATGGACTGGTGTCTTTGTCCAACCTTGCTAACCATGCATGTAGCTATGTAACTTGAACATGTGTTGCAATATATTCCAACCAAGAATCTCTGTCTTTATGGTTTCTAAAGGTATGCATGAAGGTAAGAAACCTTTACCCCTGGTTCACATCTATGCAGACCCGCGGGCAGGTGCCATTAATTCTAATGGCACGCCGCCTGCACTGGAAATCACAACCATACTGGGAACCGAGGTTCCCGTGTGGGTTGTGTTTTCTCTGGGGGGAACTCAGCAGTGCTGAAGTGCTTGCAGGGGGTCTGAGAAGAGGATGATCGGGGCTGCTCTCTGCAAAACCATTACACAGAGCAGGCAAGTATGATGTGTTTGATGTTTATATATATATATATATATATATATATATATATATTATTTGAACCAATCAAATCAAACCTTTAGAATCACTTTAAGTAAAAATATGCTAGCAGTATACAGTGTAAATAGGTATATCAGCATGCAGAAGGTTTAATGAAAATCTTTAGCGTCATTAAGTGGCCCCTCAAGCACCTCCTATGGTTTCCCTACATATGCTATTTGTATTTAAGCACAGACATTTTGTCCATTATTTATCCCATGAGCAAGAAAGTTTTAGGCACAGTAGAATAGGGACTGGCCAGGGAGGGATCATTTTGACAGAGTTGGCCACATTGAACATATATTGTAATATATACGTGCCAAGAATCTCTGTTTTTGGCAAATGTTTGCTAGAAGCATGCAAGACCTAAGAATATCTAGCAGTGTGCAGAGAGTTGCTGGAGAATCTTAAGGGGCATGGCTGTCTGAAACCATCATGCTTGCAACGTGCATGTGTAATTTACTTAAAGCGGAATTCCACTCACTCTGTAAAAAATAAAAGTCATCAGCTACAAAAACTGTAGCTGCTGACTTTTAAAAAACAGCCACTCACCTGTCCCACAATCCAGCGTTTCCCCCACCACAGCCCGTTTCACCAGCCGTCATGCATTCCAGGCACCGGCAGCCTCAGTGTGGGCACCCGGATGTGACAGCTTGTGACCTCACAGCCAGGTGCCCACTGCGCATGGGCGAGTAGCGCTGCTCTTCTTGAATGGCCCCATCATCTTCTGGGACCTGTCACATGTCCCACAAGACTTCGGGGAGGAGGGCAGGACAACTTCCGCTTCTGCTCGCCTAGGCAATTGCAGCGGAAGTGGGAGCGGGCACCTGTCAAATTCGGGTACCTGTCCACCCGCTCCCCGAAAGTGCCAATCCTTAATGAGGAGCGGGGGGACCAATTTTTAAAGCAGAATATCCCCTTTTGGGTGGAACTCCGCTTTAACTAAATATTTTATATATGTGCTGAAACCCTGTATGCAGTTTTGCCACAGTGTGGAATTTCTGTAATCTCAGCATTTAGACCAATCAACAATCAATAACAATCAAAAAATTAGTAGGTGAAAAACACACAGGTAGCGGTAATTAAGTTAATGGAATCCCCCCCAAATCCAAACCAGACTCTTATCCTAGCATGCAGCCTGGCAGGCCAGAAAAGGACAGGGTAACAAGTGTGTACTCCACAACCATACCAGGTCACATGCCCTCACATGGAAAGGGTACTTTGTCAGGGGAGACCCCCCCCCACAACCCAGTCTTGGTGCTTGTGGTGGAAAGGAATATCAGAATCTATATGCCCCCTTTAAATATACATCCCCACATCTCCTGGTAGGTCACCAAATATGGTCCTGTCCATTGTTAGTCAGTGATGTTACTGGGTACACCCTTTCCCATTGTTTACATTTGGTTGTCATCTAGGGAGTTGTCATTCGCAGCAAGTGATCAAATGTGTCGGCGGGTCATTTTTTTAAAATGTTCTAGAGGGTCCACAGGCGTTGTTCATCAGGATTGACAAGGATCTACATTGCAGGATGACATGATTAATGATGTAGTTTCACTGTGGGACAGGTTTCTTTAACCACTTGCCCTTTGGAAGATTTACCCCCCTTTTGCAATATGGCACTGCATTACTTTAACTGACAATTGCGTGGAAATGCAACCGTGCCCAAATAAATTTGACATTATTTTTTCCCCACAAATAGTTTTCTTTTGGTGGTACTTGATCACCACTGCATTTTTAAATTTTTTGCACTATAAACAAAAAAAGACAATTTAAAAAAAAATATATATATTTTTTACTTTCTGCTATAAAACATATCAATTACATTTTAAAAAATACAATTTCTTCATAAATTTAGGCCAATATGTATTCTGTTACATATTTTTGGTAAAATAAAAAATCCCAAGCATATATTGATTGGTTTATGCAAAAGTTATAGCATCTACAAATTATGGTATATATACTGGAATTTATATTTATTTATTTTTATACTAGTAATCAGTGCTAAAAATATGCACTGACACTGTTCTAATGACACAGGCTAGGAAGAGGTTAAACATCTAGGGTGATCAAAGTGTTAACTGTGTGCCCAGATAGTGTTTTAGTGTAAATTGTGTGCTGCTTTTACTAAGGGAAATGATAATTCTATTCCCTTTGCAGGGACACACGATCCATCACTTCCCCACCTATCAGAACTGAGCTCTGCCTTGTGGGGATCAGGAAGGAATTGTTTTCACTGCAAAAGCAAATTGGATCATGCTTTGCTGGGTTTTTTTGCCTTCCTCTGTATCAACTGTGAGTATAGGATTATAACTTTTTTTTTTTAATGGTTGAACTGGAAGGACTTTTGTCTTTTTTCAGCCAGACTAACTATTTGACTATGTAACTTTGTAACTTGTATACATAGGCAGAGCTCTGTTCTGTGTCTCTGCCCAATGATCTGCGTGTGGTGGCAGGCACCCATTGCCTGGCACCCGCAGATCATTTCTGATGTGAGTAATCACAGCTGAAGCAGCCCGCTGGCAGCATGCGTGCGCACCCCTGGGTGGAAGTGAAGAATCACTTTATTTATGTGATTTTGCACAGGAGTGCCACCCTGTAGCAGTATAACTGCTATAGGGCACTCTTTAAGTGGTTAGAGGACTTGTCAAAAAGTGCGGTGTCATTGTATACTGTTTACCAGGTATATTCTTTTAAGTTCATCACTATTAATCACCTTTAAAAGTGC